GGCCCGGGAAAGCAGTGGAGGACGGCCCAAAGCTTTGGGACCCTGCACCTGCATGGGAGACCCAGAAGAGGCTCCTGGCTTCGGACTGGCATAGCATCGGCCGTTGCGCTCACTTGGGGAGTGAATCATCAGATGGAAGATCTTCCTCTCTGTCTCTCCTCTCTGTATATCTGCCTTTCCAATAAAAAAATAATAAAAATAAATCTTTCAAAAAAATATTTTATAGCTTTAAAACTGCTTCAAGTGTGGAGGAATCCAACATGGGGGGAAGGCATGGGAAGAGATTGGGGCAATCCCAGATCATATGAAACTGTGTCATAAAATTAAATTTTTAAAAATGTCAATAAAAACAACAAAAAACATTTTTTAAAAAAAACTGCTTCTATTATATATCCACTGAGACTTTGTTTTGGATATTCAAGAGTTTGAGTTAAATAAAGACATTCTAAAATAAAGAAAGCCTGAGAAAATTTATGATTCAGTAAATTAAGTCCTAAATTTTTAACTAGAAAGATGAAAGAATTAAATAAAGAAGGAAGTATTGGGAAAAGCCACTGTGGACAAATATTGATGCTAAGGAACATGTTCAAAATGTCGAATACAGAACTATATTAAAACACTGGAAACAGTACCACATAAAATGAAAAGAGATGAGGCTGGTGTTTAGGAGTCGAGGGTAACTTTCATTACCCAAGATGCTAGCAACTTTGGTGGGTGTTTGTTTCCTGGCTGCTCCATTTCCAACCCAACTCCCTGCTAAAAGCTTCAGAAAACAGTGGAAGATGACCTAAGTTTTTGGGCCACTGTCACCCACATAGGAAACCTGGACGATACTTTTGGCGGAGGTTTCCTATGTGTGTGACCTAGGTCCAGGTTCAGCCCTTGTGATTGTGGCCATGAGTAGACTGAAGATCTCTCTCGGTTTGGCTCTCCCTCACTGTAACGCTGACCTTCAAATAAATAAACATATTTCAAATAGGAAGAAAGAGGTAAGCAGAACGCAGGCTTTCTCAGATGTGATCACTATTTTGGAAAAAAAGAATACAAATAACGAATGAAGTAGATCTTCAATTATACACTTCTTTATAATGATCGAAATATTTTAGCTCATACACACAATAAAAATTGCATCTTTCACCTAGCTTCATTTCATGGGTTTCAGAAAATAATAAAGCATAAATCACTCTTCGATGTCTACATTAGCACCAAACCTACTTCAGTAAAGCTGGTTCAATGATTATCTCCCCATTCAGGAAGATCTAAGTACCTCATTTCTCTGTTTCATCAAAAGTCAAATGTATCATGCTCACTTATTTCCTAGTCCTCTTTTTAAGGTAGAGTCAAAATTTACAGCTAAAGATTGAGTTCATGTTTTGTGTACTAGTTTTGTTTTTATCTTTCTTTAATATCAAATCATGAGAGCCTTGTGCGTTAGCCTAGTGGCTAAAATACTTGTCTTGCATGTACCTAGATTCCGTAAGGGCACCAGTTCGTGCCCTGACTGCTTCACTTCCCATCCAGCTTGTGACCTGGGAAAGCAGTCAAGGACGGCCCAAAGCTTTGGGACCCTGCACCCATGTGAGAGACCTGGAAGAAACTCCTGGTTTCCTGCTTCGGATCAGCTCAGCTCTGGCCATTTGTGGCCACTTGGGGAGTGAACCAATGGATGGAAAATATTTCTCTTTGTATCTCCTTCAGTCTTTATATCTGCCTTTTCAATAAAAATAAATAACTCTTTTTTAAAAAGTAAGTTATGAGCCTTCTCCAATGACTCCATGACAGCCTTTCAATATCTGAACTTTTGTTTATAAAGCTTCATTATATATGCATAACATTATTTATCCACCCAGTCCACATTGTTGGACATAATGGTTTTACCTTTTGTGCTAGGATATATCTTTTTTTCTATCTTTTAACCTCATTTTCCATTCTTTTTTTTCTTTTTTTTTAATTTCATTTTATGACACAGTGTCATAGGCTCTGGGATTCCCCCAACTCATTCACATGCCCTCCCCCCAGTGTTGGATTTCACCACCTTGTTGCAGTATTGCAGTTTATATCCAATCACAATTCCTTCATTGCAAGCATGTACCGTGCATAGAGTCCAGCATCTTATTGTCCAGATAAATTCAACAGTTTCATTGGGAGACCATCCCTGGTCTGAAAGTAGAGCTGGCAGAATAGCTACGATATATCTTGACATGAAGCTTCAACATGAATTTTATACTTACCTGTCCTTATGTTTTCAGGAGCCTAAAGAATGGAACTAGTGGAATAAATATTTTTAAGGCTTTTTATTTGAGATATGTTGTTTAAATTATTTTATATTGATGTTTATGTTCATATTATTTTTTGTAGAAGTCACAGAATGTTTTTAGCTTTAATTACAACTTACTCATCCTGTGAGCTCTAGCAATTCGCTAGATTATTTTGCTGGACAACTGTCAAGGTTACACAAAACAAGGGGAAAAACGGGAATGTTACGTTCACATTCTCTGCAAGATTGGACTGTGCGTTATAAAATTTATGATGACAAAACAAGAAGTAAAATAAAGAGTTGATTTTAACACAAGACATCAAACATATATGACTTTGGGGATGATATCATCTTGCATGTGCTGGGATCCCGTGTGGTCACAGGTTGATCCTGGCTGCTCCACTTCCCTTCCAGATCTCTGCTTGTGGCCTGGGAGGATGGCTGAGGACAGCCCAGGGCCTTGCCCTCTGTGCCTGTATTGGAGAGCTGGGTTTGGATCCTGGCTCCTGGCTACTGGCCCCTGAGTTCTGGCTTCAGATGGACTCTGCTCTAGCTGTTGCTGGCACTTGAGGAGTAGACTGGTGGATGGGGGATCTTTCTCTCTGTCTCTCCTGCTCTCTGTGGATCTGACTTTCCAATAAAAGTTAATGAATCTTTTAAAAATATGCATATACAATATAAAAGCATCTGTTGCAATTTTAATTTTGAGGAAACTTTTGACTATTCATTAAAAACATTCTTTCTACAATGTTTAGGAAAGCTTTTTAAGTATCCATAACTGTGTTAAATAATCAAAATTCATAAAAAATAAGATGACCTATCTCCAAAGTATTCAGGATGATGAGATGAAAAACCATGTAAAAATGCACTAAGCATGCTATCATTATGACACTATATTGATGTTACTAACATTATAAAGGCACTCTTAAGCCTGAAGAAAAATTTAGACTTAAATAAATAATGACAAACCGGAATTTTGGTTAGAATAGGAAAAAGTCTTAAAGAAGATAACTTCTGAATAGGCAAAAGGAAAAACAAATAGGAAAAGAAAAAAAATAGTCTTCACTATTGTAAAGGGAAATATATTACATAGCACAGTGCATGTAAGAACACAGATAATGTGTCATCTGAAATTGTCACACATTGAAGAATTCTCTACTACAATGCATTCTGTCACTGATTTCCAAACCCTAAGAGACTAATAGAAATTGTTTAATTTGGTGCTTCTGAACAGAGATTTTTGCATAACCTTTCCAAAAGTAAGACTGACTTTTAAGTGAAATGTAAAGAAAGCATGTTTTAAAAGCTCAAAAATCTCAGCAGAATCAAAAGAGTGGCGAGCCTTTGGGGTGTGAGGCATTTGTCACAGTTATGAATAACTAAACAGAACTTCAAGAAGCTAAACTACAAAAAAAAGCAGTTTTCCCCAGTTTGCACCCACTGTTAGGAGCAGCAATTCTGGGAGAACTGAGTCAAGTACAGAACAGTCTGGAATTCTTCCCAGGTCTCCTAATCAAGACTTTGATCTCTTTGGAGCGAGGCATAAAGCAAATGTATTACTTGCTAACATTTCAGAGAAAATTTTTCTCATAGAAAAATTTAAGAACTGAACATTAAAATATCAACCAAGCCAAACAAGATTCTTTATGACCAGCAGCTTGCTAAATTTAAAAAGAAAAATTAAATTGTTACGAGCAATTAACATCTTTCATCCTTATGTGATGTTCCTGAATGAATGCCTATTCTGTATTGAGGTGGATAATGGCTGGCAGCACTCCAGGGCTCTGCTAAGCACACAGCTAAGTAAGCCACCATTTGCATCGCTGAAGTTCCAATTCACAGATGACTGAGTTCTTATGCCAATCTGTATGTGTACCCCCTTGCTTCCTCAATTCTTTTCATCTTCTCTCCATTAAAAATCTAATTCAATGGTCTAAAATTTACTCTTAAAAATTATGGGATTGGGTCTGGTACAGTAGCCTGGCACCTAAAGTTCACACCTTGCAAATGCCAGGATCCCATATGGGCATTGGTTCTAATCCCGGCCAACCTGCTTCTCATCCAGCTCCCTGCCTGTGGCCTGGGAAAACAGTCGAGGACACTCCAAAGCCTTGGGACCCTGTAACCACGTGGAAGACCCAGAAGGGGTTCCTGTCTAATAGCTTCAGATTGGCTCAGCTGTAGCCATTGCGGCTACTTGGGGAGTGAATCATCAGATAGAAGATCTTCCTCTCTGTCTCTCCTCCTCTCTGTATATCTGATTTTCTAATAAGAATAAATAAATATTTTTTTAAAATTTATGGCATGGGGTGCCAGGAACATAAACTAGCAGCTAAGACACCAGTTAAGCCATGTTCATGGTGGAATTCCTGGATTCCACATTCAGCGCAGCTCCCATTCCAGATTCCTGCTAACTGGCACTAGAAGGAAGCAGATGGCCCAAGCAATTGAATGTACATGGCAAAAGCCATGTACAAGATGTGGACTGACTTCCCAAGTCTCAGTTTTGAACTCACCCAGACCTAACAATTGCAGGTATTTGAAGAATCGCAACTGCAGAAAATTGCCCTATCTCTGTGTACTCTCTCTTCCTCTGCCTCTCAAAGCAGAAACAAAGAAATAGCTAAATATGTTTAAAAGCTGATTTTAGAAAGAGATAAATTAAGCTGCATTCAGACAGATATTCTAATAGAGCGCATTGCCTTGAACGAATCACTCAGCAAGAAAAGGAGCCTTTTGTTACCTGTTCAGCAGAGGCTTCCGAGAAGTCTTCCGGACATGAAAGCACGGGAGGCACAGCGGAAGGCCAGAAGGGAGGAGCACATGCCATCCTTTGCCTTCCTTTCAGACGCCAAAAGCGAGTTACTTGAAATTCTCATATCAGGAAAGATGGGCTACTTGGGGCTACTTGACAGGAATGCATCATGTCTTCTATCGCATGTTGTCACATTTATTCCTTAGCCATGACCTTGATAGTAGAAACTCTTGAGCCCAATTTCAAGATTAGAAAGCTAAGTAACAGAAAAGTTAAACAAAATGCAAAAGTCAAATAAAATATAAATATGTCATTTTTAACATGTGAAAATGTGTTAAACCTGTAATATTTTCCTTGAAGGAGCCACCTCATAACGGTGTCTCCAATCACAACATTTTTATTCCCTTAATTTTTCCCCACACTCTTAGCCAAGTAAAATTCACTACATCCAGATAATACCTACTTCATAAATACATAAAAATATACTTTAAATCATACAATCCCTTGTCTTCACCTGGGTCATTGTAAATGCATCCTGTGTACTTTAGACTTTTGATGAAGTTTTTAGTCCATTTTCTCTCCAGGCAAGGAGATGGTCTCACAGGTCACTCCAATCAGAGCACCAGCACAAATATATACAGTGACCTGTGCTTTTAAGCTCTAATTAAGATTACTACTTTTGGAATCTTTATCTTGTAGTTTATCATGATGAAGAATGTCTGATAATAGTACAGTCCAATCTTCTCCCAAATACTAAAATTGCATTGAGTCTTACACATTTCAAGTGACCTCAATTCTACTCCAACCAGACTCTCATGACAGATCAGAAAAGTGAAGAAGAGAAGTAAACCGAATATATGACATACAGCATTTTGTCTTTAATATACAACGCAATGTCCATAGAAAATGTTGGACTAAAATAATCTTGATATTTATGATGATATCAAAATAATTATCACTTATTGAGACTTTATGTGTAAGACAATTTTCCAAAGATTACTTTGAATCATTAGTCATTTAATACTAATTACAATTAGGGAAGTCTTATCCATAATTGTTCCAACAAAACAAAGGGAATCAACATTTATCAATTTGTCCAAGGGTGCAGACAAACTAGCAACTCAAGTTCCAAATGCCAGGATGTTGACCTTGCACTTGGTGCCTTATAGCAAATGAATTTCACATAAAAAATCACAAATCACAGTTCAGGTATATTTCCCAACTGTTTTGCTCTTCTAGAGTCTATTTCAGTGTATCCTTATGTGAAATATTAGATCCACCTCAAATGAAGCCTAGGAATTATTTTAATGAAAATACCTAAAGATACAGTGTTAGTTTCAAAGTATTTAAAGTAATCATTCTAGAGGAAAAGAGAATTCATTTAATTCAGCACATGTTTGTATACAATTACGGATTTGTGTCTAAAAAAGCAGCTTTTGAATCTCTTTGTTTTTTTGTAGTAACCTCACACTTACTTCTACTATTATGCTAATCACAAGAATTGGATTTATTTATTTATTCATCTGCAGATCTCATAAACTGACAGAGGGCAGAACTTAAGAATTGCTTTTCCTTGTGTATTTATACACAGATCCGCCAATATCAGGCACTTATAAATGTTGTTTAACTGATTAAACAATGGGCTGTGCACTCAAGTTCATGTTATGGTACCAAATATAATAGTACTGTGGAAATTTCTATGTCAAAATTAACATCCTATTCAAATGTAGTTCAAAATACTGTATCAAGACTTACACTAAGGGCTTTCTAAAATCACAGTAAAATTCCTATCATTTGATGGTAAGAACAATTCACATCCCACATTTTGAATGCAAAAAGTTTTATTGTGACATAACAGAAGGGCATAATATTTTTATCAGTACCTTGAACCTCACAAATTTAGAAAATAAGCCTCTTAAAGATGAGAATTAAACCAAATTGCTAAAGCTTCTTTGAATTTGCAAAACATATTATTATAATCAAATACATATTTGATTACAAGTAAGCATACTTTGTTTTTCTATATTAGAAATTTTCTCTTAAAAAATAGGCCAATTTCAATGGTAAATCTTTCCTGCTGACAGATTCAGGCTTATTGCTGTGACTAGAACAAATTCCCTCTGTGCTTTAACCATTTCCCATGATTTGTTACAACCTTAATCATCCAAGAACTCAAGACTAAATCAGCAGGAGCAATACAATCCACACATGCCATGTGCCAGGACAAGCAGATGCTGATTCAAAAGAATTGTCTCCTTCTTCTGATTTCCAGCATATTTTATTATTTATTTGAAAGTGCTATGGAAGAGAAAGATCTTCCACCCGTTGTTTCACTACTTCAATGGCTGCAATGACCGGGGCTATGCCAGTTTGAAACCAGAAGCCAGCAACTTCACCCCACTGTTCCACTGGAGTGACAGAACTCCAAACATTTGGGCCATCTGTGGTAGCTTTTCCCAGGCCATTAGTAGAGATTAGAAGTGAAGCATCCAGGACATGAATTGGCACCCATATTAGATGCCAGCATTGCAGCAGGTAGGTTTATCCACTATGCCATAATGTTGGTCTCACAATGTAGAATTTGATTGCACATACTTCTCTGTGTCTCCATGATGCCTTTGTGAAGATATATTTATCTGGAAACTAAAGTGATTGAGAGATAGGTGGAGAAAGGAAAAGAAGAAAGGAAAGAGAGGGGGTGGGAAGGCAGAAAAGAAAGATGAAGAGAGAATCAGACTTCCATTCACTGATTTATATCCCCAAATGGTTGTAACTACCAGATCTGGCCAGGCCCAAACCAAGGACCTGAAACTTTATCCAGATTTTCTATGTGTGCTGCCAGGACCAAAGTCTTTAAGTGAGCATCTGCTGCCTCCCAGGTATGTATAGTAGGATGCAAGAACAGAAGCAGTGGCAGGATTCAAAACCAAGCATTCCAACAGGACGTTGGCATCCCACATGGTGGCTTAACACATTGTATCACAACTCCCACCCCAAAAGGCTCCATTATTATCTTCATTTCTCTTTTAAAAAGATCTGTCAGCAAAAGTTGTTATTGTTTTTTGAAGCTTAATTCCTCAGTATGACGGCATTGTGAAATAAAACCTGATGGAAGATGTTTGGATTATGATGAAAGAGACCTCATGAATGAATTAATGTGCCTCACAAGGAATGAAGTGGTCATGCCAGTAACTGATGTCCCTTTCTCTCTTTGCATGAGACTGCTTGCCCTTCCTATTTTCCAGTAAGAGGAGAAAGAGCAGGAGGCCCTCACTGCATGTGTCAAGCAGATAAGTCACATGATATTGAATTGAAAGGTTGCAGACCTGTGAAATAAATAAATCTATTTTCTTTATAAATTATCCAGTCTCCTGTGCTAGAGTATAATAACAGAAGATGGGGTAGGACAAGAGTGAAAAGGAAACTGGGTCAAAATGTCAGTAAGTGGCAGGTCTTAGATTTGAACTCAGAATTTGAATACAAGGTTCTTGAAATTCCCAGATACTGTCTCCAAAAACAGTCTAAAAGCCAACAGCCCAAGCCAGATTGTCATTGAGAGATGAATTAAAGAAAACAGCTTGGAATTTGATGTCCACTATATGAAATTAAACTTTTTACCTAAATATAACTGATCCTTCTATGCCAAAGCAAATACTAATACTTGTGATGGAAGCCGGAGATAAATATGTTGTGCCTACAAAGACGAGTAACAACGACACTGCTCCATTCTTGTTTCTTTTAGAATAAGCCATGTGAATCTTGAACTGATGCTATGCCAATCGGAAGCATTCCGTGTATCCCACATGGGTGCAAGGTCCCAAAGCTTTGGGCTGTCCTCGACTGCTTTCCTGGGCCACAGGCAGGGAGCTGGAAGGGAAGCGGGGCTGCTGGGATAGAACTGGCGCCCATATGGGATTCTGGGCGTGCAAGGTGCGGACTTAACCACTTGCGCCACCGCACCAGGCCCAATAAATCTTAAAAAAAGAAAAAAAAAAGAACCAGTACCCATAGAAACCCTGGCATCGCAAATGGCAACTTTGTCCACTATCCCATAAGGCCATCTTATAAACCTCCTTTGTACTTAAGCAAGTCAAACACAGCAATGTGATTTTGAACACTTATTTTGAGAAATGAATAAGGAGTAAGAAAGGATGGATCAAGGAGAAGAAACATCATGTGCAAGACAATGAAATGCGAAAGATCAAGGCACTTTGTGAAGTGTCTGCAGTACATAATTTATTTTTACATGAATCTCTAGATTTTATTTATTTTTTAATTTCTATGAAGTAAACAGTGTCCATGTATTTTGCAATACAGATTTAGAGCCATGGCAGTATTTCCCACCCTCCCCGCCTCCTACCTGCATCTCCCACCCACCCTTTTTCTTACTTCTTTCGTTTTCTTTTTTCTAATTTTTGCAATGGCATATTTTTATTTCACTTTGCAATCACAGGCTTAATACTGCATTGGATAAAGACATCAATACATAGGAAGAAGAATAGAAAAACATCTCTTCCAGCAATATGTTCTCTAGAACATTTTTACATGACCACCATTGATTTTTTTCTAAAACATATTTCTTATTACATGATACCACTGTTGAAAATATGCTTCTCTATAATAAGAACAAACTCTACAGCCAAGCATCCATAGTTTATACTTGAACAAGGTAATAGTTATAACTTAATGACAGTAGTAACTGCATATGAAATTCGAGTCATCCTTTTTTACATGATTATTTTAACCTTCACACAGTAAAATGATCATACCAAAATATAAGAGGACTTTCATTTAATTAGTTAAACTAATCTTCCTTAAGTATATCTTTTGAGCTAGATACTCCTATAGGCTGGTGACCCAAATAGAAAGAGGTCTCTAACTTGAGGAGCTTAATTTCAGGTGAACTAGAAGGACAATAAAAATATATCCAATATGCAAGGACATTAGCATTATAACATAACAAACACAATAAAGAAACTAACAAGTAAAAAGGGGTCCATTGTGATAGCCTGGGGGCTAAAGTCCACACCTTGCAAGTGACAGGATCCCGTATAAGCTCCAACTCTAATCCCAGCAGCTCCACTTCCCATCCAGCTCCCTGCTTACTACATGGGAAAGTAGTCAAGGACAGCCCAAAGGCTTGGGACCCTGCACCTGCGTGGGAGACCTGGAAAAGGCTCCTGGCTCCTGGCTTCGGATTGGCTCAGCTGTAGCCATTGCAGCTGCTTGGGGAGTGA